GGTCCGGGGAGCTCTGTGCCCGTAGGGATCCAGGCAGCCCTGTGTCCGTAGGGATCCAGGCAGCTCTGTGCTCGTAGGGATCCAGGGAGCCCTGTGTCTGTAGGGATCCAGGCAGCCCTGTGTCCGTAGGGATCCAGGCAGCCCTGTGTCCGTAGGGATCCAGGCAGCTCTGTGCCCACGGTGCCACTGCCCTGAAGGCAATGGGTTCCCAGCATCCAGTTTTGTAACCTTGGGAGTTCACTATGGTCAACCAGGCAAATGCCAGGAAATCCCATCCTAGTCTGCTTGATGAAATTATTTAATTCAGCTTTAAATGTCTCTCTCACAAAGAGGTGGAGGTTTCCTAATGTATTCTGGGGAACAGGATTATCTTGCTAATAATTCTCTGTAGATTTTTTCAGTTTTGCTAGAAGCACTTCTCCTGTTTTTTGTTTTAAAGATTGCCAACGCTCCTGATAGCAGAATGTGTGCTGGTATACATGACACCACAGCAATCTGCAAATCTTCTGAAATGGGCATCGAGCACTTTTCCGATGGCTATGTTTATAAATTATGAGCAGGTAAAATAAAAATGACCTTTAAAGAGCTATATTATTGTCATAGGAACTGCTTTTGAAATTGGGAGTTCTGCCTGTAAAATAGAAGTAAATTTTATCCTTTGCTACAGATAAAGATTCTGCTGGAGTTCTTTGGTAATATGTTGTCTTGTAGATCTGTTAGCTCATTATGCATATTCATGCAAGAAATATATAGATATTCTGAAGGATGATTGCTAGGCCATCTTGAACCAAAAGAACTGAGGCTTAATGCATTTATCTAAATCAACACTTCACAGTTTTCTTCATAAGACAGAAGTAAAAGAAATGATGCTCAATGTTAAATATGAGTTTATAGCATTAGAATTCCATAGCAAAATGGAGCAAACTGAACTTTTCTGTATAGAAGTGAAAAGCTGCCCCAGGGGAATCGGGTAGCTCTAGGAATTGGTTACAGAATCTTCCATGTTCTAAATCGGCACTAGAGATCTAAATGAAGCTGCTGACAATCCAAAGCAGAGTCAATCTTCAGTTCCCCGTGTACATTTCATGTGTTCAGAGAGGAAATAGCATTGTCGCTAAAAGCAGGACTGGCAGTTGACTTGCAAAAGTGACATAGCTAGGAGGTTGTGGCAGTGGGAAATAAGACTTCTTGGGAGAAAATATGAAATTTTCTTTAATGTTATCTTGCACATTTTACAGTATAGGCAATCATTAGTTACAGCTTTTCACTGTGAATACGTTCTTTTCAAAAAGGGGAAATGCTTTTTGTCTCGTTCTCTGAGGTGAATATGGCAGATCGGTTTGGACAGATCATGATTGAGAACCTGCAGAGGAGACAGTGTAACCTGGCCGGAGTGGAGGTCTGCAGGTCCCTGGACTCTCAGGTAAAGAGGCTCACAACCTGGCTGTGGTTATTAGGTTTAATATGTCTGCAAATTGCAAGGCTCCAACACCGATGAAGGCAAATCTGGGATGGGGCAGCTGCTGTCTCCCGAAAGCCTTTCCCATCCGCCCTCGGGTCTGTCCGTGCAGTTAACGCCGCGGTTGGCAGATCCCACCCAGCTTTCCAGACAGTCCTGCAGCTCCATCCAGCCGCTGCACCCTCCTGCCAGTGCTTGGAAGGAGCCGTTTGGAGAAGGGTGCAGAGCTCTTCAGGGAACGCGTCGCGTAGATGGCCTGCAAAATCCTTGGGACAAAAACCGATTCCTGCAACTCTTTCCTTGAGTCTCTGAAAACTGAACTGCTTGTTTATTTTACAGAGGGAGCGGTTGCTGTTAAATGGCTGGGAAACTGCACATGCCATTGATATGATGAAAGTGTACAGCTTTTTGCCACAGGCTGATGTGAAAAGGTACTGCTGATAGCTTGCTTAGCAGAAAGAAGGCATTGCCTTCAGTGTTCAGCTTTTACTGGGCTGATCTACCCAAGGGAGGCATTTCTGAGCTCCACAGCCAAGTGGTTGCTTCACACAAATGAAAAGCTGATTAGAATGATCTTCCTGTGATGACTTGTTTTCCAAATGGAGTCCTTGTTTTCGTTGTCATCTGTTGGTTTGTCATAAAGTATTTCTGTGCATGTGAGTGTTAAGTAATTTTCATTGATATTGTTAAATTTTTAATATTAAAGGAAAACTAAAAAGGGAGGAATTGCTTTTAATAAGTAACTTCGTAGGTATTTTATATGAAGTGTAAATCCCTGAGTCACCCATTAACTATAGTTTGAATTAGTCAAACAACTTACCTTGATCAAAATAAATATTTGCATGTGAGGATTTCTCAAACCATGGAACTGAACAGGTGAGACTGAAAATCACTGGTTGTTTAAATAGGAGTGATGACTGTGGGATTTTACCATATGGCACTTGTGGCGAAACATGGTTGGTCCTCTTTAGCAGCCTGCTAAACTATTGTGCCTGTTCATCTCCTTCTGCTTGTTCCTGGTGCCAATAAATAGGTTATGTTAATAGTGAAGGACAGAATTTATATGAGGGAAATAATGCTTTCTATTTATAAAACATCTTTGACCCACAGTTCTTTTTTTGCAGTACCTCTGTGGATATATTTAAACACTGCCCCTCAGCTTCTCTCTAGATCCACAGTTAGCAGCCCTTCCAAGTGCTTTGTGTGGAAAATAAGCACACTGATATTCAAGTAATCTAGGAGGGGAGGAAGGTACGGGATTAGAATTATAAAGCAAGGTTATACTACTGTGTCTATATAAATCCAACAAGACCACATAGATGTAGTAAAAGGAGTTAGAAAAGAAATACGGGTATTCACGAGAAGTTGTGCACATTAATTGTGGAACACAGAATTCCCTGGATTGGCAGCTGAAAGCATTTTGTGGATCACTAGTTTAGTACATTGACAGCAAAGGTTGGGAGCAGTGGTATTTCCATTATGGGCCTGTGTTTGCTTATTTTGTAATAAGCAACTCTCTGTCTCTCCTAACTTTTCCTATTTTCCACTCTTCTGGAGTAAAGATGTATATGTTATGAAATTGTACTAGGACTGCAATCTAAAATTACTTATTATTTATTTATTACTGCAGAATAGAAGGACTTGAATTCCTGGATGAGAAGGAGCTCTTTGAACAACTAATGCAGCACTACTGCATCTGCTGGGCTTCAAAAGACAGCAGCAATCTGGGTAATGTTCTCCAAGATGTAGAAGGTGACCCCACATGACTCTGTGTACCCTAGATGCATGGCAGAAATACCCCATAGCAGAACTGGGGTCTGCTTCTCTGCTGGGGCTGTGAACACCTCCCTGGTGATGACACATGGCTGTTTCTTCTGCAGCTTTCTAAGGGTTTGTATAGGCATCTGCATGGCCCAACTAGGAGCCTGTCCAGTAGAAGGGAGTTAAAATTTTTACACTGAAAGATGCAATATGAGTTACTTTGACTGCCTGCTTTATAGTATCCATGCTAACTGAAAGGTTTTACAAATTCTGTGCGTGAGGTGCCATATGGACATATAATATATAAAATCAATGTCCTGACAACAGCAACAAAAAATTTGTAATGCTTAGCCCACTCTTATCATTCTGCACTGTTCCCATTTACTTCCATCTAAAAGACTGATATTTTCCATGCTACTTGTTCCTGGCAAGAAATAATGCTTAAGTTAACTCTTAAATGTTCCTTTTGTTCTTAAAATTCTGTTTCTAGTCTGGAAGATCTTTGGCACAAAGACACTTGATTAATGCTTTAGGTTAGGCAGCATTATGTATGGGACTCTTTCAGAAATACTAAAATGAAGAGTTGGGGGTTGAGTAAAGGATGGATGTCTGCAGCTATTATTGTCAAGAGTTAGAAAGATGACTCTGTTGTAGATAGTTTATCGCTATTTCTGTCTGCAATTTCAGGGACTTAACTGTTTTCAGAAAGCTTCCTCGATGGCAGTTTATCTTTTTCCTCCCCTTCTCTGCCCCTCCTTTGCTCCTGACAAAGCAGTTTCGAGAACAAATTTTATTTACTGCTCCTTACCGAGTAGGAATAGATGGAATCTTTACAAAAATGGTGCATCTATCTCAGCCAGGCCAAGTGCTGGGACAGCTGACAGCTGATAAAACAGATGTGAACGCCACGGGGCTGCTGCTGGGACAGAGGTGATGGCTGGTGGTGTCACCGGAGCAGAATGCTACAACTTCCATGGTTTTGAGCTGCAGAAATGAACAATTTTCACTGATTTGTGATGGCTGAAAAGTGGTGACTGGAATAGAGAGCTTATTTCTAGTGATTGAAGCCCAAAAAGGTGTCCTCTTCACAGTAGTCAATATTCCTGGAGTCTCCAGCATTACACTTTGCTGTGATTAGAGGAGAGCCAAAGTTAGTTATGTGTACCAAAGTTGAATGATGCAGCATATCTTAGAAGTCAAAGGAGATAATCAAATGTCTAATGCCTGGTTATTCTTTAATCTAAAATGCTCTTTATCCTGAGTGAATTTACTGCGCTTAGTAATGCTTCTTTTCCCTGGCTTTCTCTCGTTAATTCCATGGGCAGACCCTTACTTCATTTAACAGCCTCTGTATTGCTGCTCCTGCCACAAACACCTTCAGCACTCCTCCATCACTGCAGTGCAATCAAAAACGGATTTAAAAAGTACAATTCACCTTGCTTCCTAATTTCCCTGTCTGCCACCAAGCCTGACGCTTCATTTGTCATAGATTTCTCAAAGCATGCTGCCTTCCTTGTCCTGCTATTCTAATAACGAGGCATGGGCAGTGTAACAATTAACGCTTGTTTCTCCCCATCCTTCCTGCACACAGGCCTTGCAAGCATCACGTTTTGATGGATTTGCTTGGGAGAAGCCACGGGCCCAGGAGCCGCCGCTGCCGCCTTCTGCCGGAGACGGGACTGAAGGAGCGATGGGCTCTGCATGTGCCAACTTCAGTTTGCTCCTCTGTGTAGGCAGCGCCGGAGAGGAGAAGTGCCCGGTGCTGCAGATGCTGACTCTCCTGTTGGCTTTTGGTAGTTTTAATAAATATTTTTTGCCCCTTGTGAGCAGTTGTTCTGATGCAAGACTCTCCTCCATTTTCTGGATATATAATGATGGACTTTTATAACGTCAGCAATTCCTGTTTAAGAGCTCACCTTCCTTAGCTTAAAACAAAGTAAAGTGTTCTTGTATTATATTATTGACCTCTCTTGTCTTTCTGTAGATGTGTAAAATGTATTTGTGACAGGAAAGTGGGAAAACAGTACTGAGCTGCATTTCTGGATGTCTTTGCACTGTGCACGGCTGATAGTGCAGGTTAATCTTTCTGTTCAGCTTTTGTTTTTATGAAGTGTCAGCCTGTTTGGTTTCTCCAGGCCTTTGCTGTTGTGACAAGGCTGCCACTGTATTTGGTCTGGTTTTGGAGGGAAAAAGTGAAGGGGTCTGTGATCTTTAGTGGAGTCCAAGAAACTGGATGCCGTTAAAGCAGACTCCGTTGGACTGGAAAGGGCTTAGCTTGCCAGTTCAGCACTGGGACTGTAAAGGTACAAAAAAATCATCTACGTTTGTGCTGCCTCTGGCAGTATCTTTACACTGAATTCCTATTCTCACCCCTTAAAAGAAACTCAACAGCAACCAAAAGCCCTACCTGATGTTTGAAATAAAATCCTGCATCCTTCCTACAAGAAAAATAAATGTCTAGTATTTATAATTTGCTCAATGTCTTACTCATCGTTAATTGCCTATTCATATCTGATCTAGTGACTTTACATCATTTGTATCTCACCGGATGTCTCAGCAAGAGCTTTTTTTTAATTTTTCTTTTCTTAAAGCAATTGCAAGTATACAAAACCATTTCAGTACAGTTTGTGACTCTCTGTAGTGTAAAATACCTCGCTTTGGCAATAGTTATAAGGGGGCTTGGGCTGGAGGGCTAGGGAAGAAGGTTGAGGGGATTCTCCGCAGGGACAGGCTGCGCCTCGGAGCCGCAGCAGCGGTGGGAGGCAGTGGCCGTGGCGTCGCCCGCTGCGCTGCATGTGCTGCGCTGC